GAGATGCACCAAAAACTGTTAATACCTGCAGCTGGCATTGGTCAACCAGAAGGGCCCATTTCTTCTCTATTACAACACCTGACTACATGTTGCACAGCCAACACTTCAAAAGTTGAACAAATTGAACCATGAAGTCTTGACTTAACTGCTGCGTTCACCTGATTTCTTGACAACCAACTACCACTTCTTCAAACATCTCAATGACTTTTAAAAATTTATTATTTATTTATTTATTAAGTCATTCACTGTACATCGATACAGTATAAAAATGAGATTTTCCATCCAGTATACATTGTGTATTTGCTCAATCAAGGATATTACCATACATGTTATCATCAACAAATAATTTTTTATTTCTTATTCCTTATATATTTTGCTTTATTTTCCCCTCCTTGGTTCCCTCTCACCCTCTGCCAACTCCCCCCCTTCTCCCACACTGTCTCTGGTAATGTACAGTTGTTTTCCATACCTTTTTTTTTTCACGTTTTATTGATTCACTAAAGATCTTAATTAATTGAAAAACTTTAAATAGCAAGCACAGCTGATATATATGTATTTATGAATGTATGTCTGAGGCATAAACCTCAGTGGGTAAAGTGAACAAACTATAAAGTAGCACCTTGCTGGGCTGTATAGCTTACTGCATTGATTAAGTAGGTATTACTCGGTATTTTAATGCATTTTTTTATTTCAAAAAATAGTTTTAATAGATAAAAATAAAAAAATATTAAGAGAAATTTGCTTAAAACTTAAAGCCAGCAAAAAGGTTAGGATTCAGTTAGGTATACTAGGTAGATGAATATATCAACAGTTCGAGAGAAGACAAAAATTCTTAAATATGCAAATTAAAGCATTGAAGAAAATTAGTAATGTTTTAGTCTAAAGTAAAAAAAATCTATTTCACTAGTTCAGACTCACATAATTAATCTCTCTTCTATTGAATTTTCAGTGTTACTGTGGTCTGATCTTTCCATTTAAACTCTGGAAGGAAGTTAACATTCAATTCCAGACTTGTCCCTACTGTTAGGCTGGCCATTCTCTTGGTTGTTTCTTGTACTATTATTACCATATATCTCACGCTAGCTTTTTTAGTATAGCACTCCCTTCAACACTTCTTGGAGAGCTGGTCTGGGGTTGGTAAATTTTTTTTTTTTTTGGGGGGGAGAGGTTTTTGCTATAGGGCGTGTGCGCTCGCCAGACAGAGAGAGAAAGAGAGACAGAAAGCGAGAAATCACCCCCAGGGGGGATGGCCATGCTGCAATCCCTTCGCCTCCATTCTCCTCTTGAGATCTTGGGCACACACTCACACGCTCCTGGCATGAGTTTTAAGCCACCGGGTCCGGGACGTGAACTGCGATCGACCACGTGGGAGTCCAGCGACATAGCCATTACTCTAACTACTGGTCCCTGGTGTTGGTAAATTCTTTCAGGTTTTGTTTATCTGAGAATGTTTTTGTCTTTTTTTCCCATATGAAAGATAATCTTGTTGGGTATCGTATTCTTAGTTGAAATTATTTTTCACTTAACACTTCGAATATATTTTTCTATTCTTTCCTTGCCTGCATTGTTTCTGAAGAAAGGTCTGACATTAGCCTGATGGGATGGATATCCTTTGAAAGTAACTTGCCAATTTTAGTATCTTGTCTCTGTCTGTGGTTTTGGCCAATGTAGCTATGATGTGCCTTAAAGAAGATCTTCTTGGGTTGATTCTATGTGGGGTCCTCTGTATTTCTTGGGTCTGGATATTTGAATGCTTCTCTAGGTTTGGAAAGTTTTCTCCCAGGATTTCATGGAATAGATTATCAATGCCCTTATTAGTTTCTTCACCTTCTGGGATACCAATGACCAAATGTTTGGGCATTGAATGGTATCTAGTATTTCTTGTATGTTATTTTCATTTTGGGGGGTTAGTTTCCCAGTCTTTTTGGTGAATTTTTCTGGGTCAGAGGTTCTATCTTCTACATCTAAGATTTGATCTTCTGCATGCTCTAATCTGCTTTTGATATTTTCAAGGCAAGTTTTGATTTCCTGTATTACAGCCTTCATTTTTTTTTTCTTTTTTTGGAGAGATTTTTGATATAGGGTGCGTGCGCTCGCCAGACAGACAGAGACAGACAAAGAGACAGAAAGCAAGAAATCACCCCAGGGGGGACGGCCACGCCGCAATCCCTTCTCCTCCATTCTCCTTTCGGGATCTTGGGCACGCACACACACGTGCCCGGCATGAGTTTAAGCCACTGGGTCCGGGACTCGAACCGAGGTCGACTACGTGGGAGTCCAGCGACATAGCCATTACGCTAACTGCTGGTCCCCCTACAGCCTTCATTTCTAAAAATTCTGTTTGATTCTTCTTTATGATATGTATCTCCTCTTTCAGATCATACAAGAACTTCCTCACCTTCTGGAACTTGGTGTCTCTTCTCTTTCATCTTCTGGAGTTTGCTGTCTCTATTCTCTAGCATCTGTTAGCTTTGTCACTATGAATATTTTAAATTATTTATCTGACATTTCCATGAGTTCCCTTGTATTCTTTGTGGAGGAAGAGGAGTTATTCTTTTCCTTTAGAGGAGATATATTTTCTTCGTTTCTCATATTTCTTTTGCCTCTGTGGTGGTTTCTGGTCATCTGATGGATTATGTTTTTTTCCTATTTCTTGGAGTTAAATCTGAGCAATCAGAGGAATGCAGAAGGAGGTGACCTGCAGTCTGATTCCTGGCTAGAATGGGAACAGGATGGTGAAGTTGGGGCAGAGAGTCTTCAGTGGTCAAAATCCCTGAATGGGGCTGCTCGGAACTCAAATATAGATGGCTGCTGATTGAGTTATCCTGACTGCTGGCTAGACTGGGGAGCAGGAGGGTGAAGTCTGGGCAGAGAGTCTTTGGTGGTTGAAATTCTTTATAACTTTTTTGCAGGGAAAATGCTTCCACAATCAGCAGGATGCAGCAGATGTTTTCTAAGAGTTTGTCTAGTCCTGAAGCACAGATAATCATGCTACAGGAATAAACAAACTTATTTCTCATTGGTAAAAATGTTTTGATTGTAATGTTTTCTATTTTGATTAATAAAGATGTGCTTGAGCCTAGTTATAATGACTTGAAACTCATGGTGCAAAACCACAATTGCTTTTGTTATCAACCATTTATATAAACATGTGTTCTACTAATTTTAGTAGGCAGCATTGCTGCAGTAAAATTTATTCAAAATGAGTAATTGTCATGAGATCTGTTATGAACAGATAAACTATAGATGCATTTATGAATTTGGGTGTCTGTTTATATAAGCATGGTAGCTAAAAACATGCCACTGGAGCCAGACTCTGGCTTCTCCCCTACTTTGGGTCTACTGCTTTCTTGCTGTGTTATCTGAACATTCATCTGTAAAATGAAGATAAATAATCACATTAGCAGCCTTGTCATTTGTGTGAGGATTAAATGAGTTAATACCTATAAAACATTTATGTCAGTGCCTGGCACAGAGTCAGTGCTGCACAAATGTCACTTATCATATCTACTCTAACATGCCTCCCTCCTTTTTTTTTTTTTTTAAGCTAACTGAGCATAATAACATTGAATCTCATAGATATAGGAGGGTTTTTTTTTTTTAAAGAGATTTTTTGCTACAGGGTGTGTGCTCTCACTGGAGATATAGAGACAGAGAGACAGGAAGCAAGAAATCACCCCCTGGGGCATGGCCATGCCACAATTCCTACTCCTTCATTATCCTCTCAGGATTTTGAACACACATGCAACACATGCCTGGCATGAGTTTTAAGCTGCTGGGTCCAGGACTTGAACCCAGGTCGACTATGTGGGAGTCCAGCAACCTAATTGTAACACCATCTGCTGGTCCCACAGAAAGGATTTTTATTAGAAGTATACCAGAGTAAGGTCTATTAATTATAACCAAGGTGGGTTCAGAAATTTAATACCACATTTGTTGCCAGTAGGCTTGGATTTTTAGTGTGTTAACTTAAAAAAAGTGCTTTCAGATTAGAATGTGACATTTACTCTGGCCTTGTTATCATATAGACTAGTACAAACAGTAGTTGATAGTTTCAACTATGTTAGCCCCCCCGCCCCATACATTTGGTTTAGTACATGAGTATATTGTGTTCCACTTAACCTGATTGTGACAAATGAAGGAAAGAGATGGTAGAGAGTATGAAGAGCAGGTGAAAGCTTTGAATATGTGGAAAACCTCAATATAAGCCTGTGCAGTGTTATTAACAGGTGTATCAACAATTTTTCTGACTTTGTACTTCACTGTGGAGAAAAACAAGAGTATGACATCTTGAATTTCTTCACTGGGTAATTTAAAACACCAGCTGCACCTATCATTTTACTTAAATTCAGCATCAATTACAATTACAAATCAATCTAGTCATATGTTCCTTTTCAAAGCTGTTACTATTCAAAACAACTGTTGAAATCAACAAAGCAATATGAATATTTATTACCATAGTCTGTTATCTCTGTTTTTTAACCTCATTTTAAATTCTTACTTTTACTCTGTTTAAGTAGACTACAATAGCAGATTCATATGAAGGACTTACTGTATAGCCTTGAACTAATCTACACATTAATAAATTTTTAATGAGAAAACTGTACGGAGTAGTTACAGTTTTTATTAATAGATAAAACCATCTTAAAGAGAAGAAAGTAGGGTAATACCGAACGTGTGTGTGCTTTGTACAACATGTATACCCCCTTACTCCCATCCCCTTTTTTTAGCTGGGGTTATCTACACTCGCTGAAGACGACTAAATTTCACTTGGTCTTCTTTGGCGTCTATGAACAAATAAAACTATCCTCATTCTGCTGTCGTAAGAACCAAGTTACAAGGGAAAAGTAACAATGATTTTAGAGCATGACTGAAAAGCCCGGGCAGACAAAGATTTGGAAGAGAAAAGACGGGTTTGGAGCACGGTCTTCGCTTTGCCCCCGACCCTGTCCCGGGGCAGAGCACCTGCCAGGGGGCGCGTCGGGTCGCGCTACCCGCGGGGCGCTGGGGGCCGGGCCTCTGCGGAGCTGTGCGGCCTACTGGCGTACGTCCCCGGGGTTGTCGCGACCGCTTGGCGATTGCGCAGGCGCGGAGTCCGCCACTCGCGAACCTGAGAGCAAGCCGAGTGCTGTAGTTAGTGGGCTCTGCTCATGATGAGACCCGGTGAGGAGCGGCCCTTGGAGGGGGGCGCATGCCATGGCGCCTTGGAGCTGGAGCTGCTAAAGCAGCGCGCGACGGAGCGCATCGACGAGGCAGCGGAGCGGCTGGGGGCGTTGAGTCGCGCCATCTGGAGCGAGCCCGAGCTGGCCTACGAGGAGCATCATGCCCACCGCGTACTGACCGAGTTCTTCGAGCTCGAGCCACCGGCCTCGTCCTGGGAGGTGCAGCCGGACGAC